TATAACACACGATTGCAAGAGGGAAGGAAGAAAAATGAGAGAAAGGTGTAAGCATACGAATCAGAAAGACAAATTGCATGAAAATTCGTTTAGATGTCATCTCATTTCTGAAAACGATAGAAAAACTATATTCAAAAATTACTGGAAATTATCTTCATGGAATGAAAAGAGAATTTATGTTAAAGGTCTTGTTGGAACAAGACACGTGAAACGTAGACGAAAATATGTTCGTGAAAGGGACGGTGAGGAAGTTTTAAAGAAAAGTGTGGGTCATGATTATTTTTTAGTAACAGTAAGTGGACAACGTCTAAAAGTTTGTAGAGTACTATTTTTAAATACGCTCAGTCTAGGGGAAGATACGTTGAAACGTTGGACTAAGCCAGATGTTCATAGTAACACATCTGCATCAGATGAGAGTATAATAGTTAGTCCAAAGAGAAAGCTAGAAGAAAATCCTAACCTATCAGTTACAAAAAAAGCACGGTTGGCTAGAGAAATCAGAAAAAAAGAAAGAGAAGATTCTGTGAAACTATGGCTTGATGAAATACCCAAAGTTCCTTCTCATTACTGCAGGGCAACTTCAAAAATGAAGTATGTGGATAATGCTTTTATATCTAAGCAAAACATGTTCAAAATTTACAAAGAATGGTGTAGAGAAAAAGATAAAATACCTGATAATCTGCAACTATTTAAATCTGTTTTGAAATTAGAGAAAATTTCTGTTCATAAACCCCGTAAAGATCAGTGCGACACATGCGTTGGATTTAAAGTTGGAACTGTTTCTCAAAATGAATATGACCAACATCGAAATAAAGAAAAGGCAGGTAGAGTAGCAAAACAAAAAATGAAAGAAAGGACAAAGGAGCATCCTGACACGTTAGTTGTCACTTTGGATCTGCAGAGTGTCCTGACATGTCCGAAAGTATTAGCATCTCAGTCCTATTATAAAATGAAATTACAACTCCACAATTTTACGATATATGCACTGAATGACAAAAACGTCTCCTTATATGTATGGCACGAAGCTAGTGGTGGCGTTACGTGTAATGAATTTACATCTTGTTTGATAGATTATCTAAGTAATATCCCAACTAATTTCAAATCAGTTAATTTGATATCAGACGGATGTAACTACCAAAACAAAAACAAAACTTTAGCCAGTGCGTTGAGTGATTTTGCAAAAGCGAAAGATATAACCATTCAACAACTTTACTTAGAAAAGGGTCATACAATGATGGAAGCAGATTCCGTTCACTCCACCCTGGAACACTATTTTCACCCGCCAATAAACTCACCTACTGATTATATAGCGAGAATGCGTATGGCTCGTCACAAACAACCATATTGCATTAAATTATTAGACTACAAGTTTTTCAAACAATGCGAACTTGCAAGTAACTTTCGTTCAATTAGACCAGGCACAAAAACCGGTGATCCTGTGGTCGTTGATATAAGACAATTAAAATATTCACCTAGTGGAGAGGTGTGGTTTACGTTGGACTACTCTGAAGAGTGGCAAATATTGCCACATAAACGTGACTGTCAGGACATGTCAGTTTACAAAGCACCCCTGTTCAAGAAACAACCTGCAATATCTTATGAAAAGTATCAACATCTCCAAGAAATGAAGACAGTAATTGAGGTCGACCATCACTCATTTTATGACTTGCTATCCCACGAGAAGAAAAAAAATAAAAAATAAGATACACTATAATATTGTTCCAAAAGTTAACGTTTATTTTATATTTAAAAATTAAAATTTATTTTTCTTGTGTTCTTTCTATATACCTTCAAATTAAAATAAAAAGTGATAATAATGCAATGTAGTATGAAATATCTCCCATGTCATCTAGTCTGGATTAAGCAATACCTCTGAAGTAACACTTTTTATAATATTTTTTGATCGGATTATCATTCAACAAGATATTGAGTTCAATTTGATAAATACATTCCTTTATATTATAAATCATGAAAAAATTACAATATAACTGTAATATCTAGAGATAGAAATGTTTTTTGGCTCTCCTGTAAAATTTACTTTTTTTCACATTGAAGGTATTCACAGCCCGGCGACGATGTGTAAAAAAAGGCACTTACGATGGCATATGGCACGCTTGAAAAATCAATTTGAAAAAGGCCACTAGTACTTCGCATTAGTTGAATTTTCGTTGCTGGTAGTCTCATTCGTGACTTTTCAAAGAATTATCGACACTTATTATAATACCCTTGAATAAATACTCTAATAAGTTTAATATTTTTAGTAATAAACTGCAATTTTTATAGCTTGTCCACCTAATTATGTTATTAATGGGTAAATGGATATGTATGTATCAAGTATCCTTAAAAGACTGATATTTTGTTCGTAAAATTTATTTTCTTTACACAAAATAAATATGTTATTAAAATTCAAAATTTCATTGGACGAGACGTTATATTTAAACATTATTTCAAACATTCTGTATAATTAAAAAAAATGGCAACACATTCCATTCACCTATCTTATTGTTTTTGCTGAATTCAAATATGAGAACCTAATTTAGTTCAAGTCAATATTTATTCATATCAAAAGTAAAGCTTCTTGTGGTCCTAAATACGTATATCTACATATATAAAAGTGCGCTAATTATCGAAAGTCCTTCAGGATTATTTAGTTATTCATTTGTTTAGTTATTCATATGTGTAACGAGACTGTTTGTTCTTGTTGTTGGTGTTTACAAAAATAAAGTACAGAAACAAATTCCCGCCCAGCTTAGACGTAACTGGTAAGTTTAAGTTATATTCTTTTACTGTTAGCTAATATTGGTTTAATAAATCGGTACTATTATTAGTCATTAAGGTATCGTCTACATGGGTAACTAATAAATTGATATCGAATATTTTCAGTTTAGTGTCGTAGAATGGTACCTGTGTGATAGTTCTTTTTGTTGAGTGTTTCAGAAACTTGTTATGAGTTTCAGGCAAAATAATTTGCCTGTAGGGCAACTATATGATTCCAGATATTCGCCTGTGCAGGTAGGGTTTTTTATTTTAATGATTTAAAAACGGTAGCTATGTTTTTCTTAATAGACGTTTGTATAAAAGGAGGCAATGAGTCTGCTGATATCGTACTTTCGGAAAATAATAATTTTGTTCAAACAACAAATATTAGTTACGTGATGTTTTTAATAATTTTGTAACTAAAAACTAAAATTACTAAAATTTAACGAAAACGTATTTGAAGAAAACCAATTTTTTGTTATCACTTTTCCCGCGAGAAGCTTCTGTTGGCTTTTCCATGTGTTCGGGAATACTAAAAATCATAATTTCCGGTCCTTAACATTTTAGTGTCACATTTTGAAGACTAATTCTTTGCGGATTTTGTCAAAATATAACCATTTTTTCCAACCTCAATTTTTTTATTTTTTGGAGTGAATTATTCGATGGATCATTTGCGTATTTTGCAAAAAATTTGTCAACTCCCAAAAATAACTATATTCTATAGTAAATTTTCGTAAAAAAATATAGAAAACCAGTATTTTTCGAGAAAAATATAATCAAAAATTGAAGTGATCAAAAACCACACATATATTTTTTGTTTTGAAAAAATGCAGTATGCCTACGGTATTAAAAAAAATGTTTTTCGTCATAAAATGTATCACCCCAAATATTTTTCCCATATTTGCACAAGAAAACATCACTAACAAAAAATTATATATTTGTTGTACTTAAATTATCAAAATAATTAAAAAAATCTGATGTGTTCAACACATAGGGTTGCCAGACGTCACGCTTTTGGCGTATTTTCCACGATTTTTGACTTGCTCAAACGCCACCCTTTTTATGCAAGTGCCACGCTTTTTAATATAAAGTCGTAAATAAAAAGGAGGAACTGGATTTATAGAGAAATATAAGGTCCTTTTTTTTGGTTTTTAGATAATTACCGGCTAAAGGACCCTTGTTTACGAAAAATACAAGCCGAGGACTTTTTTTAATTTTTTTTTTCACAATTAATAGTGTATATGAGGGGTTCACAGCAATAGTGGTGCAAGTCAAAAAATATTGTTTTGTGTAAACAGGCTTTAAGTTTATTTTACGTTTTATGTAAAATGTGGAAAGACAAACATTTGTTTGATTTTTTCAAATGTTTACAACAGGTATTGTGTTGTTTATTATAAATTACATAGTTATTTTATCCTATTGGTGAAATAATTACAAAAAAACTAAAAATAGATTGACTAACACCACTTGTGCACTGAATTTCAGGTGAAATAATTAAAGTAGAACGCTTTATAATTTTTATTGAAATAATATGAATACAAAGCTAATTATTTTGTGATGAACTAAAAAAATTCTAATCGTAAAACAATTCGTCTTCATCTGAGGAGGTTTCATGCCCTGCTGTTTGTAATTTCTGTCAAGATTTTTAAAATAAACATGACGAATAAAGGAAATGTATGGCAATAGGTCCAGGATGTCGCGCTTTTTCTGTTGTGTAGGGATAAAAATATCCTGATTTTCTGATAGTGACTCAAGTTTTTTTCCTTTTCCAGCTTTTGATTAGGAAACTGTATTGAAATCTATCAATTCGTTGAGAGTTTCTTTGTACTTAAATTGGAACGGTGAACCACGATCAAATCTAAACCATCTGATTTTGAACCAGCTAAAAGTATCTCCTATCACATTCTTTTTGCGGTTTGTTATTGAGTCCTCAAGACTCTTTGTGGACAAAAAATCAGTTCTTTTTATTTGAAATACTTGAAAGGGCCTTGTACGTTTTGCCTTCTTTACAATCTCTATCCAATCTTCGGAGCCCCATGTATCTGTGAGTGTTTTCTACTGGCTTTTTCTATTACTCCTAAATCAGCGTCGTTGGGTAAAAAGGAGTGTCCGGAAACTAAAAATTTTAAATCTATTGTTTTTACATTCATGTTATTATTTTTATTTAAATATTATAATAACGTGAGTGCTAGTTTTATATTTCTTTTCTGTCCCGTGCAAGAGTCGGAGTAATAAATTATATGGTCGTGTTCATTAGGTGCTTTACGAGACAACTTGCAATGTCTTGGGATCCCCGACCTCCCTTTGTGTCATCTCTACATGAATCCATTTGATAAATTAAACTCCAAAATTATACATATACATGTTTCTTTTGTAGTATGCAACGGATGTGCTAACTTTGGGAATGGTAATGCTTTTTGTAGGTCAAATATGGCTACATAAAGTGTATCAGATGCTTCATCCTTATTCTTGTTTAGGGCGTCTCGTGCTTGTTTAGCTTTTGATAAGTGAAGATTTGTTTGAGTTTGGAGGTCTCTTTTAATTTCTTCATTATTCTCGGAAAGAAGTTTTAAGTTTAATTCATCGCATGTTCTGCAGGAATCTTTTACAGGGGGCTTAAAGTGCAAATAAAATTTTGTGGAGAAAACTTTGTAGTAAATTTTTTCTTTAACTGGTGTTTTATTTTCATTTGTACATTTTTCAACGTACATTTCATACATTTTATGAATTGACAAGTTTGGATTCAAACATTTTCTATTGGGATTGTCTTTTCGACTATAATGACTTTGATAGGCTGGAAAAGATTTAATATGCTCTATAACATTAAATCATCAATCTTATTCACAGGGATTTTTTTACCCCGACCATCAGTAACACCAAAAGTTTTCAAAAAAAAAATTTTTACATATGGATGTATTAACATTGTTAATTTTCCAACTATATTGGTAAGTTACTGATTTAGAGCTTTTAGAATTATCACGAGGATACTTTTGTTTAATATTTTCAGATTTTATGAGGCTATGGATAAATGTATTTTGTTTTAAAAAATCACCCAATTTCCAGAATGAATCATGCACTTTTTTTCTAATTTCCATTTACACGATTATAACACATTTTCTTACATTTACAGTTGATATTCTGGAAGCTTTTTGCTGGTACATTATGCCCCTTTGAAGATAAGTATTGTTTAGCTTTATTTCGACAACGTTTTCTAACGTTTCTCTTCCAAGAATTTTCATTTCTTACTCTTTTTCTTGCACGAATGGGCGGTGAATGAGCTTCTGCCTAAATATTCTCTTTTACTTTCTCTTTACTATTGGACTGCGCTTCTGATTCTACACTATAAGACAGAATTCGACAATATTTCAAAAAAAGATAAAATTAATAGCTTGACAAAATAAAAAAAACACATATTTATCCTAGTTTGAGGGCTCAAAACTCGATGAACTTGCAGTACTAACATGATCATCCTCATAATATTCGCCTGTATGCAGTTTTACTCAAAACACTTCGGTAAACTACTTAAACTTACTTCAAACGTCATAAAATACACGTCAACGTCGCGTCGTCAACGCAAAATAAGGTTAGAAATTTGACTTACACCAGTTTTGCTCCGAATAATGGTTTTTATCAGAGATCTCTGATTTTTATGTTTCAAAGCATAAACATAGTTACGCCCTCTATTGCTTTTTTTATGAACAATTGACTTACATCACTTTGGCAGTGAAAAAAATCGAATTTTAGAGAGTAGTTTTCTGTATTATCAGCATTTTTCAAATTTTTGACTTACATCATTTTTGCTGTGAACCCCTCATTCGCCGTTCCGGTGAAATATCGACGTAACTGCAAATTGGTAAAACTTTCAGGAGAGACAAAAAACAATTTACTTTTCCTTTAATTAATTATTTCTAAAAGAAAGTTTTTATGATAATCGTAATTTTGTGCGAAAGTAGCTTGTTAAATAGGTAGAATAAAATGGAATATGTGGCTTTTCCGTGCCCTTGAGGCGAAAATGGATTTTGATAGATGCGTCTTTGTTTGACCAAAAATAAAAGATCACGTTAGGAGTTGTGTACTTTTTATTACAACAAAAATACATAACAAAATAAAAAACTTAGCTTATAATTCACAAAAATTTTAAAATATAACTAACTATACCTTATTAGAAAATTAATTTTTTTTATTTTTGGATAACTGCAAAGGCTTTGAGTAAGCTTTTTTAAGTGTAACATTTTTAATGTCGTGTAGTTCGGATCGTCTTCTATTAGCTTTGAAATTTAAAGAAGACCATTTAGCTTGCCCATAGCTAGTGTTATAACGAATTAATTCACTTCCTTTCTGAAACTCGAAAATCTTAACTTCATTTATTTTAAATTCATTACCATCAACATTTTTAGCAATGTTTAGGCCCATGTCGTCAAATAATGTTTTCAGATCATAGAAACTTTCAAATCCCATTTCTTTAACATCAATCTTATTTCCTTTTTTGATCTATTTTTTTTTTTTTTTTAATTATGCTATGGATAGCATCTGTTTCGTTTTGTGTGTGCCCGCGGATTAAAAATTTGTGTTATTGACTTTATTGCAAATCGTTCCACAGCATACAGATAGGCAGCAATTAGGAAACTAAAAATAATTAAAGATAAATGCATTAAAAGATAACTCTATTTTAAAATTGTTTTAAATTTATTTTAATAAGTAGATAGTATCTAGCTACTTATTAAAGACAAAAAGCGCATCAATAATTAGGCCAGTCTTATCTAAAATTAAATAAAAAATATAATTTCTATACATACTTTGCTACATTTACGCAAATTTTAGCTAAGAAAAAACCTTTTTCTAAAAAAGAATAAAGACTTAAAGTACATTTATGGTATTTTTTCTTGTATTTTTGGCTTTTAAGCAAACTATATTTAGTCGAATACGGCCACATAACACACTTACGTCTTTGTTTTTCCAAAAGCTTGGAAACTAATCGTATTTTGATAGGCAAAATTATCATTTGCGTCTTTATTCCACTTAGCAACCTCCGGTTCACTCCGCGGTTGAGAAACAACTGACACTTCCGGCGCTGTTTTCGCGAAATATGCTTTTAATATCTGAAAATTGAATAAGTGCATAACTTCCATCTGGCGGCAAAAATTGGTACTACACTTACGTATTTATTTTACCAAATAAACACTGATTTTTTGGGTCCATTTATGGTAATAACTCGAGATATATAAAAATGCTTGGTATTTACATTTTTAAATGGTATTGAAGGTGAATTAAAGTTTCCTTCTATTCTCATAAACTCTATAACATTGGCTATTATTTCGCGAGATTGACTGTTAATCACGCGGCCTCTTAATTTGCTATTAAACTCCATACTTAGGTTCTATTAAACTGTAGAGCAAAAAACACAAACGAAAATAAAAGAAATGTTTTAGCGAAATTTACATCTGACATTTACGTCTGAATAAAATAGTGAAATACTTGATGCGCAGAGTGTACTTTCATTGCGTAAATCCGTCGGCCCCGCCAACCGATGCTTCTCAGTAGTGCTTTCTCTATCTAGCCGTCGAAAGCCTCTAGAAATTTGATGAACTGTAGTGTGTATGCCATGGCCGCGAAACTTTTTAACGACCTCAAGATTATCTTGCCTCGGCCGCAAGCGGCCTCGGCGATAACTATTCTTTCGGTACGTTAAAAAGGTATTTCGCGGCCTAAGCATACAAATAACTATTGTTTTATGTCTGTACATTTTATTATTTTTTACATAAAGTAATTTTGCTCAATTATTTTTAATTTATTTTATAATTTATTTATTAAAAAAATATATTCAAAATTAAAAGGTATACAGTGAGATGTGAATTATATATTTTGTACTGCACGGAAGTGTTTTTTTAATGAATACATCTGCGAGTTAAGAATTGACAACTCTTTAATCTGTTAAAATAATGTTTATTTTTTCGAACTAAGTGAATCATTTTTCTTGCTTTTGCGCGTGGCTTTGATCTGATGCACTCTTTGATACGCGTTGCAAAACAAGATTTTCTAAAAAGTTTGCCAATGAGAGACAAAAACGTATCATTACTTCAAAATTTGGAGACATTTGTAAAAAAACGAAACGTCTTCTTTAAAAAATTAACTTATTTAATTCTAAATATAAATTTAATTTTATTTTAAAAGTTCATTATATTGTTTAGTTGTTATAACTTTAGTAGCAACTTTACTGCGCTTCAGTACCTACTGTTCAGATTAAAATATGAATTGATTTATGGAGCTTAACTGAAAAACAGCAAATAATACTTTAATTCCAAAGAAAAAATATTATGGTCAATAAAAAAAAATTTGAACTGTGATATCTTCAAGCCCTTATTTAAAACCTTTAAATATTAATTTTATCATTATACAAGAGTTACATGTACCAAACATAAGTTTGTTGACATAAACATTATTTTCATAATACAAATAAACATATCTGTGTTAAAGAACGGTCATATTTGATTTAATATATTCATTTAAACATGTTTTTGTCTTTTGCCTAGATGATATTGAATACTAACTTTTTCTATATAACTTCTAATACCCGACATTGTGAGATAAAAAAAAAACTTATTACCAATAAATTTTTTTAATTATGCAACTCGACTGCGGATAGCTAGTGTATAAATACGATTTCTTATGAATTTGTTCCAAAAGCTGTACCTAGGTGGTTCATTATTGTGACGATAGTTTACTATATTTATAGTTGATTTATTTAAAACACACTATTTACAATTTATTTGTGACGTAATAATTAATTTATATAATACTTAGACACTAACTCACAATTCTAATTTATTTATTGCAATTTAACTTTTCAGTCCAATACCTTATACTAAACTAAACTGTCCGCCTAAGTCATGCAATTTATACCAAGTCCAACTCTGCTGCGAGAAGTCTCTAGACGCTTCTGAAAATTCCATCTCTGACTCAACAACACTCTCCGCCCGTTCTAGCCGTTTCTCGAGCGTCAACGGCATATCTAAAAGATTCCGTTGTTTTGAGCATGAGTCGGGTACCACAGACTTGAAGGTCGCTTGCTTAGACAGAGACGGATTAGGAATTCCTATGACATTATAATAGATTATTCAAACAACAAAAATAATTTTTCTTAATATATAAATAATATTTTGATACATTATATCTGATCGTTACATAATATAAAACCAAAGTACCTTTTCATTTTACTAACTCACTCATGGTTTAAATATAAAAAACAACAGGTATAGAAAATATGATTTAAAAACCTAGTATATTTAAAAATGTAAAATGTCAAGAGGCCGTTTATTGTCCGTTTACACATTGGCCTTCTGTATTTATTACTTTGGCTTTTTGAATCGAGGATATCGGTGATCCAAGAGCCAATGTATTGCTATACTATGGACGCTTTTCTACTCTCAGACAATCAATTGACAGCCCCACAAATAAAAAAGTGTTCAGACTTGGCGGTCGGACATATGTATTCCCATGTATTTTTCGACGCTGAATCCGATCCCGAGCTCAGAAATGGCCCTCCACGTCTGGAATTAGCCCCAGAGGCCAAAAATGGCCTCTATATGGCCTGAAAGGTGGACTCTGAGATGAGGCGTGGTTGAAGGTGTATTCTAAAGCCAAAGTCGGGTTTGTGGTCCAAAAGTTCTGGGACAACTGAAATTCCCCGTGCAGGTATTTTGGTATTTTTATATACTTTTGAATTCTGGAATGAACACCGTGCTCGAAAAGTTTATGGCCAATTGTAATTCCCCGTTTGGAACCGGGAAAATGGCCCTCAGGGGCCGGAAAATTGTATTTCGGACGTTGCAATCGCTACAGTGGTATTTTGATGTCCTTATTTATGTCCTAGTTCTCGAACTCAGACTGTGCTCGAAAAGTTTATGGCCAACTGGAATTCCCCCTTTGGGGGCCGGAAAGTCGTGTTTGAGACGTAGTAATCGAATAGAATAGATTTGACGTCGAGAAAGTTTCATCACGCTCGGTTACGGCCTTAATTCAAGAATTACTCCTATGTGATAGTTTTCCTCGGTATCTAAAAGATCCCGAATGCCCCATCCACCGATTCTAATGCGTCTATCTTTTACCCATATATTCC